CTCCATCGTTGACTTTGGCCACATTAGCCAGAAGTAAGGAAGGAGATACTTCCTTCAATTACCGACTATTATGTCGGTAGATTCTTTATTCGACGCGCGCACGACGGTCAATCGTGTTGATCGCGAGGGCCATTCAACATTAATAAAATTGAAATTTGTGATTAAAATCTTATTTAAATTTACATTTAAAATTTTGGAAGCTAATTTAATACCGCGTTTTCATAGCATGCATAATTAGTCTTTAATAAGTTCTTTAAAATAAAGAAACTCGATTACATTTGATAAAAGAATTTAAGAAAATTGAATAATAAAATAAAAACGACTGTAATCATATAATTAATATATATTCAAAAAAAATATATTCAATGAAAAGAAAAAATCTAAGGCCCATATAAATCGTCCGTATTATTCGCGATCGATATTGTTTATTTAAATCTCACCACTCAGAGAGAATGATTTCTTTAGATTTAATAAATTTTATTAGATTCAAAGATATTTATTTTTTAAATAGTCAATTTTTTAAATAGTCAATCAATTATTAATTCTACAAATTCGATTGTTCGATTTTTTAAATAATAAATGGCTTCATTTCAAATAAAATATTTATTTAATAAATTGTTTATAAAATAATAATGCATTCTTTATTTATGTTTTAACAATATTAAAGAATCTCTTTATTGAAACAATATTTAATCTAGCCAAACAAAGTATTATTTGGTTCAAAAATAAATTTTATTTCTTTTAAATAATGATGTTTTTTTTCTATTAAACAACATAGTATATTCTAACGAAACAACAAAACTTTTAATTTAACAAATTGAATTTTAATACAAAATTATGTTGTTTAAGTTAAATAAATTCAAGTCAAACAAACAGAAATCTAAATTGTTAAATCTAAAGAAATCTTTTTCTCAGTGCTTGAATCAGGTGAGAACGACATAAAAAATTCAAAATAAATGACGTGAGATTCGAGCGAGATAATTATAAATAAATAAATATTTCTATAAATTAATTAATATTTCTAAAATAATAAATTAATATTTCTCGCATAATCAGTATGCCAATATTACGTAAATTGTTATGATAATTTTAAAAGCTAGATATTGTATCTACATAATTCATCAAATATAATAACATGAATAATAATAAAGACATAATATAAATAAAAAAATATATTAAGAATACTTGTATTAAATTAGAATTTAAATTAAAAATAAACTTTCAAAGTTTTCAATACAAAATAATGTATTTTAAATAAAAATAAATTAATAATTTATAATTATCAATTTAGATTCCGCGAGACAAAATATTTATTGAATCTCACGTCATATTAAATTTTGCTTTAACTTATGTAAAGCCAAGTTATTAATTATATAGATGGATAGGTTAAACGTGATTAGGATTAAATTGGCACGCTTGTTGCATAATTTGTTATGTTAATGTTTGCTAAACATTTACTTACGTTTATAATATACATTATTAAAAAATTTCTGAATTTCATACATATATATCTCTTTCATGTACCGATTTAAATATTTAATCTTGATATTAAAATAGGGAAGAGGAAAGATGGGTAATAAATAAAAAATACATAGTATGTTCATTTATATTCTTATTTCATATAAATATAAACTATGACTCTCTTTTCATTCCAACCCTCACGACACATGCCTAAATGTCAATAGACACTAGCACGACGCGGTTTCCAGGCCGTTAGAACTCACGGGTCCAAACAACAAACGCCAGCCCGGCGCACTGGACTTCGTAAAGCCAGGACACCTGACAAACCTTCTCTGCAAGGGCACGTTTCCTCCGGAAGGCGAGAGTACATGCCTACTCTCAGACTACTTTAAGCCTCCATTGGGCAGCTTGCAGTATAGACGCAATAGAGATTTCCCGAAGGTCTCGTACGCCTAGAATGTGGGCTCAGGATAGATCGGAGGACCGTGACCTCCAGTTAATCCCTGCCCCGACTGGGTTGTTGGTCTAATGTGCTCAGTCTAGGATAGTCCTAGACACAATGCCTAATCGATTCAGACAGTGCCGATCGGACCTCAAAGATTACTATTTTTTAAACCATAGTAATCCAATCCAACAGAGAGTCATAGTTATATTTATATTTTATATTTCTATTTATATTTTTTCATTTAATATAAGAAATATATATTATAAAAATATTTAAAATGAAAATTTAATACTTTTAAAGAATACTAATTAAATTTCTTTTACGTGATTTTATGCCATTTCAATTGTTACTATTTATTTCGAAAAAATGATGAACTATTTAATGAACTTAATAAATTCTACATATTAATGTTATAGATTAATAAATTCCATATATTTTAAAAAAATATTCAATTAATTAAATTTTATTATTTTAAAAATATCTATTATTTTATATCTATTATTTTGATACATAAGTATTTAATTTCTTAAAACAATTAAATTATTTTACTTATTTTAATATATTATTTTCTTGCGAGATTGTCTGATAATTTTTAGCAATTAATACATTGCAAATGAATTCTCGCAAATGAAATATGGAAAACAATATAAAGTAATAAAATCGATACAAAAGACTCTATTTGTGTTTGTGCATTATACAAGTGCATTATAATAAATCAATCATACCAAGATTAAATATATTATCCTAAACTATTTAAATCTATCCATTTTAGGACAACAAATTTATGAAAATATACTCAACTGCAAAACTTTAATAATAAATACATAAAAATAATTTAATATAAGTTTCATAGATTTGTTACCCCAGTATAAAAAAATTTATCACTCACCGACCCGATGCGCAACAGCGGAGTTAATCTGCAACATAGCTACGATGTTTCTGTAACATACAAAGAAAATATTCAAATTATATTATAATATAATTATAGCGTTCGAAATATACAATAGATATTTTTTACGTATATCGAATCTATTTGTTTTTCAATTAGATATTTAATAAAATATCTAATTTATTAATTATTTTATAAAAATAATAATTAATAAATAATTTTCAAAAAAGATCTTTATAAATAAAAATAAATAAATTATAGAAATAAATTCATATTAAATTTTTAATTATTTTTCTTTCCCAAACTATAAATTTTAAATGATTGAAATTCAGTGATTCAAATAAGTAAAAAAAGAAATAATTTCATCTTGACAAAAAATGTATACTTACCGCAAGGTTGCTCCGCCGGTGCCCGATGCCTCTCCTAGGCCTCCTCCTCCTCTCAAGGTGTCGAGTCGTCGGATGTCCTCGCAGCACAGGACACTCGCGAAAAACACTCGCGAATTATTATAATCGCGTGCGGACTAACTTTCGATAAAAGTCTTTCGCGCGATACTTGACGACACTCCGCGTTTAGCTGCCCGTGAAAATATCAAGTTCCATCGGTCCAGTCAGCACCCGAGTCGGTGAGCTTTTCGGGACACACGGTAACTCTTCAAGCAAAGGCTAAGACCGAAGCGGAAGAAGACGAATCAACTGACTTGAATCCGACATCTCTTGTTTCTTAGAAATCACGTCTAAAATTGATTCAATCATCGCATAGCCAACGGTTCAGGTCGAATCACCAGGGCGGATACCATACACATGATATCAAAAGTCACCCGGGCTATCGAGAAGGCTGGTAGATGTGACGAGAGAGAAGGTACCCACCGCCGATGCCTAACAATTTAGACAATCGGACAACTGAGATCCAGCCTCTCGACACACGCAATAACCGCCCGAATTAAGCTCTGATCGAGTCAGATTAAACGCGATTTGTTTAGGAAGGAGAAGGGTAAGGTATTAAGGAAGGGAAAATAAAGGTCTTTGGCGATTAAATAATCGCACGCGCCACATAGGAGCCCTTTCACGACTCGTGGCAATGCTGTGTCGAAAATGAGAAATAGTCCGCGCGCTCCAGACTAATACGCGCTTATATAATCGCGTATATCAGTGCGTGAAACGC